TCTGCTGCTGCTTGGAAGGAGTAAATTGCGAGAGCTTTCGGTGGCAGGATTGCATACAATTTGTTTTATGGCCATGGCGTGCACATTAAACGCGCACTTAATCACACGCACGGGGCGTGGCTCTGGCAGAGTTAACCGCCCAGCAGCAGCAGAGGAAAATACCAAAACCAAGCCAACCCACCCACCAAAGACGTCTGTGGCGACAAATCAAATTGATTTCGTTCTTGGTTTTCTCTTTTTTTTCTTTTGCTATATACATATATATAAATATATATATAGATATATGTATGTATGTATATTTTAGCCCCTTTGTTGTGCTGTTTTGCGCCTTATTAAATCACTTTTATTGCCATTGAAATGTGCAAAAGTTTTCTTCAAGCCGGGACAAGGGGGCGTATACGTAATATGATTTTTAGCTGCCCAGAGAAAAATAATTCATATTTATCGCAACTTTCCTATGTTAGCACAGTTCATTGGCAAAACGTCGAACAGAGAGAGAATCGTCGTCATCAACGACGAAAGCTCATTATGATGATACCTGGGCAGTAAATGATATTTTTGTGGCGAAATATGTACATACATCTATATGCATATATATGTATGTATGTAGAACTAGGACTAGGCTTCTGCTTGTTTTTCTGGTATTTGTTGAAGGGGATTTGTGGGGGGAAACCATGACCAGTTTGCCCCACGGCCACCGTCAATGTCCTTTGTGCGCCTGACAACCGCCACAAATAGACAAGACAAACAACGCACGCACACTGGAGGCGTATTATTTTGCCTCGAGATGAGTCCATCGACTGGGTTTCATGTTTAACACACGTCAAGACAGGACAAGACAGGATAGGACAGGGCAGAAACAAAACAAGACAAGACAAGACAGAAGAGCACAGGTGATTCTGGATCATAAATAATAAGCCTGTACAGCTTTGGCTATCCTTTTTGAAAACTACTCTTAAACTTAAAATGTTATTTATTTTTCATTTTAGCCCTGGCTTAAAAAAAATCTTAAACCTTTTTTTTCACAACCCCCATTATCTGCATTAATCTGCAGTTAAAATAAAAATATAAAAACAGACCCCTAGAATCAGAACCACAGCGTTTCAGCGAGGCGTGTAATTAAATTTTCATGCCACCTGCCGGCTGAGTTTTCCGGGGGATCAACAAAAAATGGAATAAGGGGAAAATGGAAAAAGGGGGTCGAAAAAAAAAGGAGAGTGGCATACAAAGAATGCAAATTGCCGGGGCTATTCCAAAATGCAAGCATCAACGCCTTCGAATGCAGCGAAAGCAGGCGGAAGTAAATGCAGTAGCAGCAGCAGCAGCAGCAGCATCTCTCTCCCTCTTTTTCGCATACGTTTTCCGTAATTTTTCCACTATTTTTTTTTCTTGCCACATCTCACCTGCCTGCCTGCCACTCGACAAACGACACTCGAGTGGTCAGGTGTTAACAGGTAAAAAAAAAACACACCCTACTTGAGCCTAGCTACCTTTCATAAGATCTATTCCCGTCTCTTAGTCTTGGGTTTAAGTATTTCTTCAAGTGTTTAAGTTGGGCTAATTAAAAATGTTATGGAAGAAGGTTAAAAAAGGGAATACAAATTTAGAACAAAAATATACAAAAATAGAAAATTATAGAAAAATATTAAAAAAATATTGAAAAATATAAAAATATACAGAAAAATATAGAAAAATTTAGAGAATTATTAAAAAATATAGAAAAATGTAGAAAAATATAGAAAAAATATAGAAAAATATATAAATAATTAAAATAACTATTTCATAAGATATAAATAAAATAATTAAAGTAGGTACATAAAGAAAGAGGGTTTATGAGTTGAATTTTACTTGGAAATATACATATTATGATTGGGTATATATAAATATAAATATATTTATATAGATAGTGACCCTCATTAAGCCGCAGCAGATAAAGCAAACAAAGTTGCGCACAAAATACATTTTTTCTTTTACTTTCTCTATAAATTAAATACACACACATATAGAAATCAGTAAAGTTAAAAGCAAACTTTATCCGTGCGGCATTTACAGCTGCAAAAATAATAATTAGCAAAAGGAAAATAATTAAAACAAATGAGAGCCAGCAGAAGAAGGGATTAAATTTATAAGCAGCTTTTAAAGTGAGAAACAAAGTATATAAAGAAAAAGAAGATTAAAAAATTATAAAAAAAAATAAATAAAGCAAGTAACTAGGAATTATCCCTTAAAACAGTTTATATAAAAAATAAGTTTTATACATTTTTTACAAAATATAGAAAGAAAACTGGATTTGTTTTCACTAAATCAGTTTATAGTTTAGTCACAAAAAATGACATTAATTAAGGCATAATTTATATATAAACTAAACTAAACTAAACACGTAGCAGCCAAGGCAAGTATAAATCACAAAATAAGGGGGAGTCACACACGCCCCTTGCTCACACGAAGCTATCAATTCTGTAAAGTCACAGGAACAGACGCCGAGATTAATTGACTTGGATAAATTCCGCTGGGCTAATACGTCTTTGGGAATTAACCCACACACACGAACACACACTAACACCCACGATGTGTGTGTTCGTGGCTTAGGGTAAATTAAGTTGAGTATAAGTAGAAGGCATTTGTTTCACTTAAATTTTCTTAGCCGGCTTTATTCTTATATAATGATTTAATTTGGCTTCCATTTTGCTTCAATTTTGCTTCAATTTTGCTTTGATTTTGCTTCGATTTTCCTTTATTTTTAATATATATATATATTTTTTTTTCATTCATTTAACCGGCACGAATGGGTTAAGCTGACCGTGACTGCATGACTGTGGGTCATTTCTCATGACAGCAAAGAGTGGGGCCTGCTGCTGGGTTAATGATGCAGAAGAATATTGCCCTTGACGCGGCACAACTTTTAGCAGGAAAAGCCAAAGAGGGTGAGCAAAAGGGAGGTTGGGGCCAGCGAGATAGATGGGTTCTCTGGTTTTTGGCAAAAGTTAGCCAAGAGTAGAGTATAGAAAGGTTTGCTTGAATACTCGCCATGATGCTGCATTTATGGACACACAAGCGTGTATTTATCTATGCTATATAATTGCCAGTTCCTGACTATTCAACATGAAACAAAAAAAATCGCAGCATACTTTTTGGCGCAACAACAAAGAGGAAATCCCCTACAAATACGACACAGTTGGAGGCAAAAAAGAGAAAATGGGGACAATGTTTAGCAAAAAATAAGTAAAACAGAAAACAATGTTTAATTCTCAGAAATATTTAAACATTTTCTTTTGTGTTTTGAAAACACTATTTTTAAAAAACACCTAAAGGTATGCAATGTTACAAGGAAAGTGTTCTTTATTAGCCCATATTTATTCTATTTCTTTATTAAATTTTAAAAATATTATATACATATATTCATTTTGGGAGGTATACTGTGATAAAATTGTGAAATCTTTATCAATAATTAAATAAATTTATTTTAATTTTTTATTTAAATTATTTAAATAAGTAAGTAAGGAGCTATTAAAAAATAATAATGCATTGATTGGTTATTTTCCCTTTTCCTTAAAATTTGTGCTATATCAATTTCAATTTTTTAAATCCTTTTCTAAAGCATGTAAAAAATTCAATAAAATTTTAAAAATCCATTTATTAAATTATTAAATACAAACTAGGCAACTATTATATTGAAAACCACTGTGGCATAATATACATGTGTGTATATGCAACACACACGCATTCGGCATTCGGGGTAGAGATGTGTGTGTGCGTGTGTGTGCTTGGTAAAAACAAACAATAGTAAAACTGATTAAGTCGGGGGAAAACCACATCAAGCTAAACGATGATGAAGAAAAGACCAAAAGATTACGAACGTTGAACGTTGAACGCCGAGCACAAAAGAGAGCGAGTACAGAGAGAGAGAGTGGGAAAGAGAAACAAATGGTAAAAAAAAGAAAGGGGAAATCGGGGGAAAATCGGGGGAAAATCTGAACGAGAGTGAGGCTTAGGTTTTGCAGGAGGGGGGGGAAATGTTAACTTGATGCGGGCCAAGGATACACAAACACACATGGTCACTGGAGATGAAAACGAGGTCCAAGGAATAAAAGAATACAAAGCACACACACACATATATATATATATATATATATATATATATTTTTTTATATAGTCCGAAAGCATATCGAATAATTGAAAGGATATATAGGAGTATATATATGTATATAGAGAGAGAGAAAGATAGCAAGAAAGAGTAAGGGATAATGGGGGACAATTTGTAAGATATGATAGTAATGCTCTACAGCTTTTTCTGCCTCTACTCCCTCCCCCCTTATACCCTTACTAAGGCTTTACTTTTCGTTTTATTTCATTTTTCCTCCTTTTTGTGTTACGCCACCAACAATGACAGCAAAATTAGTCATTGTCCTCGACTCCCCAGCTTCCTAGCTCCCAGCTCTTGTCATTTGCATATATGTGAGGGCCTTCCTAGTCCTGACAATTATGTACAATTTACTTTGCATAACACTCGAAAGCAGAGGTTTAAAAGATGCCTTCCCTTCTCACTCTCCTCTCCTTCGTATAGAGGGACAAGGACCTGGCCAAAGCCAACTAGTTAGCATATTTGTTGTTTTCCCCAGTTCATCCCTAAAAACCAGGGAATTCTCACTGGAAAATAGAAAACAAAAATGGAAACCAAAACAAAGAGCCAACAACAACAAAAAAAAATATATAGAGTGAAAAAAAGGTAACTCAAAAATCAACAAACACAAGTAAAAAGTTTCGAGTACAACATAAAGGCAGAAATTTTAGACACGCGTAGAAACACCAGACGCATAAATCTCAGCCCAAGCCAACAAAATTTTCACATCCACATTTTCCACATCTCGAGATAATAAAATATGCAGTGGGAATCTCTGTGTGTTATAATAGTTAGTTTGTGACCTTACTAGTACTCTTTGGACACCACACCGTCACGTGTGCGAGTGTGTTGTTGAGTGGTTTTTGAGCTGCAAAAAGTTAGTTGGGAATTATTAGCCAGAGCTAAGGAGAGAACGAGAGAGCGGTAGCTAATGTGTGATAGAGCGAGTAAGAGAACGAGGGGGAGAGAGATCAAAATAGGTTGGTGGTTGTGGAATGTGGTGAAAGATCAAAAGTGGAAGTGCCTTTTCAAAAAATAAAGAAAGTGCAATGTGATAAAAAATGTATTAGAAGGGAGGTTTTTTTTTTTCTTTAAAATTCTTTTTTTTTTTTATCAAGATTAAGGAAATAATTCCTAATTGGTGAGGGGCTATGGTGAAAAGTGTGTGCAATGCTGGCTGCTTCTTGTTGGCGAACTGTTGGTGAAATCATTATCATTGGCCCAAGAGCTATGAAAAGATAGTGACTTTAAGTGGACTTTTATGTTACTTTGGGTGATTTTAAGTGAATTTTCTTGATTTAAAGTGACTTAGGGTAATTTTTAAGTGACTATTGAGTGAATTTGGTGGCTTTTAGCTGACTTAAGGTGAATATGAGTGCCTTAAGGTGACTTAAAAAAAAGTTACGTAACTTTTAGGTGGCTTTGAAAGACTTAAGGTGACTTTGGGTGACTTCAGTTGATTTTAAGTCGACTTTGAGGTGACTTGTGAGTGAATTAAGGTGACTTTAGGTGACTCTGAGTGGACTGACAGTGACTTTAAGGTGACTTCTGGTGTCTTATAGTCGACTTTGGGTGACTTTGGCTTTCTTTAGGTGACTTTGAGTGGACTTTAAGTGACTTTGAGGAATGGGTAAAGAAAACAGGTGACAGGCAGAGGTGAAAGCACAAAACTAAAAATCAAAACCGAAGATGAAATGTCAAAAATGCTGTGCAAATTCTTTTGGGCAATGTATACGAGTATTTTTAATTTAGTTTCTATATTTCTTCTTCTTTTTTTGTGTCGGTTTTTGCTTCTTGTAGGTTCAATTTAAGTTTTTTTTTAGTTGTTCTTAATAGTTTTTCTCTTCTTTTGTTAAGTTTATTACAGTTTGTTGGCTTTTGGTAGTTTTAGACTTTTTTTTTTTTTTTTGCTAACCTTGTGTGGGGTGTTTCGCATTGGGCAATAATTTTGTGATTTTGGTTGCATTTGATTCGATTTCGATTGCTTTTTTTGCTGAAGTGAATTTGAAAACTGATTTCTTTATGTTTTTTTTTTTTTGTTTTTGTGGTTTCTTTGATTGATTTTGGCCTCGATTTAGTTGGACTTTTGATTGGCTTTGATTTCGATTTAGGCGATTTTTGATTTCGATTCGTTTTTGTTTCGTTTAGAGTCTCTTTTGTATAAATTTTTCAATTCGATTGAAGTGCAATGGTGAGGGCTGGTCTTTGTACAGGTATGATGATCTGATATTGAATTGAGAATGGCGACTGATCTCTGATAGCGGTGATCTGATCTGATTTAGAACTTCTCGGATATGCTATAGATGCGCTTAACGCTCACGCACTTTCGTCGCAGACGTTCGCACTCGATTTCCCTGAAGTCGGCGTGCGAATTGTGACCCGATATCCCGTTGTAATCCTGTCCAGCAATATCGTCGATGGCTATGTGATGAATACGAGGCAATTGCCGGGCAGCAGCACAAATATCCGGCTCACTGGTGGCTCCACCCACGTAAGAGGAATGCTGCTCTTCCACCAGATTTCGCACCTCCACGTCGTTCGCCTCCTCGTCGTTGTCCTCGTCCTCGTCCTCGTCGTCGTCGTCGTCGTCGTCGTCGTCCTGCTCTTGGCTATCTTCTAGGGTATCTGCCAAATATTGAATATGCTCTTCTTCGCACTGCGGACACTGATCCTCCTCGGTATCGTCCTCCTCGGGGAACTGCGAGTTCTGACTATGATTATTATTACTCTGACTGATGATCGCTCGCTTCAGTTCTATGAAGAGCGGTGACGATGATTGGAGCTGTTGCTGCTGCAGATGTTGATGATGATGATTAGCCGCCGTTGTGGTCACTCCCCCTGCTAGCTGACCTTGGCCTGGATCAAAGAGACTCGGTGGTATTTCACCAGCGGGCAAGGGTTGACTGGTTATCACCGCCGCTGTGCCCAGGACACTGTGACCGGCCCCGGCTCCTGCCTCGGGATGGATGCGATTATCCGAGTTCGTTGACGAGAACTTGGAGAGTAGCGAACGTGAGCTGACCTTGTTCTTTAGTTGCTGCTGCTGCAGGTAATAATAGTCACGGGGCAGCGATGAGGTGGCGTGCAGCGGATCCTCTGGATCGTAGTAGCCCAGGGCGGCGGGACGGAACAGGCCGGGAGTGCTTAGTGAGTGCAAAGCTTGCTGATTTGACTGGGATTGTGATTGCGATTGGGTTTGGGATTGTGATTCCTGATCATACGAATCACTAATCACACTCGCCGTGGAGGCTGTGGGCGTGGTTGTGCTGCCCAGCGTCGATTGGGAGCCACCGGCAGACGAAGCAGCGGCTGCAGCTGCGGCTGCGGCGGCGGCGGCAAACTGAGCGCCCAAAAGTGGGGTCAGGCCGGCAAGGAACTGTTCCTGCTGCTGCTGCTGACGCTGTTCGTCCAACTCGCGGCGATAGGCTTCGATTTGATCACTTGGCGATGGTGTGTTACTGTGAATGCAGCCCTGAAAGAAATCCAATGCCTCGTACAGGATGAAACACAGGCCCAGGACGAGGAATGTCTCCATCATAAGCAGCTGCTAGCCATTTGAAATTGATGCCGAGCGAAACGGTAACGGTAACGGTAACGAGGAACGTAAACGGAAACGGAAACGAAACGAAACGGAGGCAACGGAACGAAACGAAACGCGCGTGATAACCGAAACGAAACGAAACGGAACGGAATGGAAACGAAACGATTTCTTTTCTTTTCCTTTTCTTTTTCTTTTACATAAATTTCAATTTCGTCTCTTGGTTTTGGCTTTATTTTCAACACTTTGGCACTTCATTTTCCTTCATTTGAGTTTACTCTTTTGTGTGGTTTTTCTTCGAGGTTTTTCTATTAGATTTGTTTTTTTTTTTGTTTTGTATTTTGTTTTTTGGTTTTCCTTTTTGGTTTTCCGGTTTATCCTTGGCTGGAATTGAAATTGAAATTGAAGCGTTTTTCCCTTTTGTTATTCAATGCAAATTAATTTCGAATCTGTTTGTCGTTTTATCTTTATCTTCGTCTTTTACACTTTTTGCCTTTTGTGTGCGCACTTTTCATTTGCATAAATTAAGTGTGAACGCTACATCTATATATATTCTCGCTGGAAGCTTGTGCGTAACGTAACGGAACGGAACGGAATGAAACGGAACACATACAAGTTGACACATACACATACCAGTACATTGTTTTTTATATATATATACAAATTTTTATATAGATATAGAATTATTTACATTTGAGATCTGGCGAGCAGAGCAAAGCAGAGAGATTAGTACACAAAAGTTCGAGCTTTCTTTTGTTTAATGTTTATTGTGCTGTGTGTGTGTGTGTGTGTGTGAGTGTGTTTGGAGAAAGTTTGCAATGGCTTTTTTTTGGAAAGTTTCCTAGAAAAAGAAATATAAAACCCAGACTCTAGGGAGTGACTATAAGCTAGGTCGTAAAGCTTGACGAAATTTTTAAAAACAGCTGATAAGGAGAGTAAAGGTTTCTCTTTAAAGAAATTCATTTTATTTAAAATTTTAAGTAAATTTATAAAATTCCACAAAAAAAAATCTCCTTAAATTGATTACTTTTCTCCAAGAACTTTATCTACAGCTCTTTCCTATATTCTTTATGCATCTATAATAGCTCTTAAAAATTTGTAAAAAATTATAAACTTGGGAAAACTAAATGCTTCTGCATATTCAAATATCAAAAGGTTAACAAACCCAAATCGTTTGCCTTGTGCCTAGTGCATATCCTGCATATCCTGAATTATTTAGGATTACCCAGCTCTCAATTGAATCGATAAGTTACCCATAAGAGCCTATTCAAACTGTCTGTCTGCTGGCAACTGTGTATATGGGCTTCATAAATGTGAATTATTTCGCAGAGCACATAAACAGAGTACAGAGAGAGTGGGATAGAGAGGACTCAACTTGACTCATGCCTTATTCATGGCAAAATTGGAGTTCAGAGTAAGGATGAAATATGCTTGTATATGCATTGAACATTCCAATCCACTCCACTCTCTCCTGCTGTTTGCATATGAGACTGTGTTGCACTTTTTTTATGGTCAAAAAACAAGAGCCCAATGAGACCTTTTAACGATTACTGCTCTGGCTTTATTTCTTTTTTCAATTTTTGATTTGAATTTGTTAGGCCATTGTAGTAATCTCTCCTTTTATGTCATCGCCATAAACATCATTTCAGCTTCCCGGATATACAGATGTCATTATAAAACAGTACCTCCTTTAACTCACATCATTCCACAACATATATATATAGTAATATATTAACGCAATTTCAACAGATATGGCAACAGATATTTATCAAAACCGCCTAAACCACATGCGTCCCATGGATTACGGCCAAGAGCAGGGCCTACAGCAAATTCTACAGCCCTCAGCAGTTCAAGGTGACGACCAGGCACAGCAAGTTGTTGTGCCACGAAAGACGATCTACACCCGAGCAGAGTTGCTATGCCGGGACCCAACCACAAGTGAGTTTTTTCCCTTATGTCCATAAAATTTGTACTCTAGGCACAATTTTCTTGATATAAGTAAAAATTTAGTTACGATTTTTCTTAAATAATAAACAATATTTTTACAATTAAGGAAAATCACATTCATACCTTTCTTTTCTCAGCCCAAAACAACACTCTACAGCCAGCTGAACCGCAGACCCCATTATCACCTAACCAAGGATACGCCATGTCAATGCCAAAAATGCCGCCAAGGAAACGCACTTATATGGATCTGTTGGCCCAGCTACCACAGACAGGTAAAAAGATGCCAAACTGTAATCTCACCCGCCGAATGGGAACGGTAATAGATCTTAAGGAACAGATCAAGATGTCGCCAAGTTGCCTTCTACAGCGCCAGGAGCAGATAGAACCTGATAATAAAGAACCGAGCAGGAACCTCACCCGTATGCAAATGGAAATGGACCTCAAGAAGGAGGAGCCGTGTGAGATAAAGAAGACGCCAAATGACACTAACTTCTGTATTCCCAATCCAAAACCGATCCTACCTAAAGGCAGTAGAATACCTGTATTGAGCAGGTCCCGTTACCGGGATGATAACCTTGACCAGACGAAACAAAATCCTATTCGAATGCGTACGGAAATTACAGATCTTCGCATCATACGGCACAAAGACAGTAAAATACCAGTATTGGACAAGTCCTGGATCCGCAAATGTATACTTAAGGAGCGTGAGGAGCAGAGTGTACGAGATAAGAATCGCTTCAAAGTTGGAATCACAGATACCCAGCCGCTTAAGCAAAATCTAAAGCAGCAGCAAAACCATGGAGGGGCTGCACAAAAAAAGGATTTGAGGAAGGAGATGCCTTGGCCTTCATTTGTTTTACCAGAGCAGCGAACCAGGATGACCACTGTAACCGAACATGGAGACTTACAGGAGGAGGGTTTAGTCAAATTAGAGAAGGCAACCTACCATATGGACAAAGGCAAATCCGATTAATAGTGGTTTTATTAAATATTTTGGTTAACCCGTTGGAGAGGTGCTTATTTTTATAATTTGTAAGGGAAAGGATCTGATGGATCTGGTCTTTGACTTTTGTTATATCTTTTGGTGTTATTCCATAGACTCTTTAGGGAGTAGAGTCTTTTTGGACCTCCCTGTTATCTCGATATACAGCTGGTATTATTTTTCGATAATTTTCGATATTTTAAATTTCTATAAATATAACTTTACAATATTTTTGATATTATTTTAAGCAAAACTATTTGTTCTCTATATATATTTCCCTCTCAATTTACACTCCCAACCCACATCCCTTTTTTTTTCCTCTTGAAAAATTTCAAAACAATTGCCATATTTTTGATAAGCCTGACAGCCATGAATATTGAATTGACCCTTTTAAACTGCAATGCAAACAACTTCATTGTTTCCATAGCAAAAAAAAAAAAAACAACAAATAAAACAAGAACAAATAAAATCAATGTTTTCCCTTTTCGTTTTGCTAAAAGTTTCAATTGAACAGAGATTTAACATGCCTTCGATGAATATCTACCATCATTTAACTGACATCAAAGTCATCATAATCATAAAAATCATCGAAAAGGGGAGAGAAAAAAAATGAAAAAGGAGTAAGAGTAATAATCATAAAAGCATTTTCGTGTGATTCCAACCCCTTTAACCTTTAGTTGGTTTTTCAGTGCAGAGCAATGACGCGGAAAAGGGCCAAAAACTGGAGTCAGGGTCCAGGTTTGGGTATTTTTTTTTTTTGGGTATTTTTGGTTTCTTTTTCAATCCCATCTGGATATCCGTGGCCAATCCCCAAGTTCCTGGTTTTTTCTTGGCCATCCTCCCATCAAAATGCACAACGTGTCGTTATTTATGCCCAACCCCTATCGCCATTCGGAAATCCCCTTTCTAACCACTTCGGCTTAACCCTTGGCATGACAAAGCGGCATGCTTGGGGATCCCAAATGGACCCCAGAAAAGAGAAAGAGGACAAAACACAGGAGAATGCATAAGCCGCGAAACGAATTGAGGCGGCCAACTGGTATGGAATACAGAAAAAAATGAGTTTATTTAAGGGGGAAAAACAAAAAACAAAACAACAGGGAAAAGAAAATCCTAAATGGGCTTATATTAGCGGGTTTAAATCCTTATTTTTTTGAGTGGGTTTATTTTTGAAAAATTACTTAAATAAATTTAATATAAAATCCCTAATAACTTGCCTTACGAATATCTGTTTTCAGTCCTGGAAAAGTTCTTTAATTATTATTATTATTTTTTTTTTTAGACTAATAATACTTTAAATATAATTTTAATCTTTATATTAAACTCTTTTAATTAAAAATAAATGAATTAGAAAATATATAATATATTGAATAATTTACTTTAATATTTTAATTGATGTTTTCAATTACGCAAAAACACAAAAATCCTAATCACTTGTCCTGAAAACTATCTTTTAGTATTTTAAATACTTTAAATATATAATTTTAAACTTTATTAATTAATTTTAATTGAAAATAAATCAATTATAAAATCTAGAACTTATTAAACAATTTACTTTAATATTTTAGCTTCATTTTTTTCCTCCCCAAGAACCACTCAAGTCAGCAAAGAGCATCCTTTAAAACTTTTCCCGTACACTCCAGTTGACAAATTAAAAGCTCATCATTTATCATTAAATCAAGGCTAATAAATACACACACAGGCAATAAATAAGGCAAAGCTTATGCAGCACTCAAACTGAAATTAATTCGAAATTTGTTGCCTCCGCTTGAGACTCAATTTGCTGCTGCTGCTGCTGCCTGGGAAAGTTCTCTCTCTCACTTTTTGGACCGATTTGTTTTGATTTCTGATCTGTCGTGGCAGAGCCAGAGGCTGAGGCACTCACTAATTAAATTTTTAATGTGTGCGTGTGGAAAACGAGCGAGTGCAGGGGGTATGCGGGGTTGGAAAAACTTTTCCGGCTGCCACTGCTTCTGCTTCTGAAAACTTCAAACAAATTCCAAGTAATTGCACATTGAAATTGACAGGGAGAGGAAGAGAGAGAAAGAGAGAGAGAGACAGAGACAGGGTAAAAGACAGAGACATATAGAGAGAGAAAAAGAGTAAGACTGCAGTCTGTGTGGGCCAAGTTAAGGGCACATTGTTATGCCCACGTTCAACTTTACATGGCCCATAGTCTGTATAAAGTTAGTAACAAACAACAACAAGATGCTAACGAGGGAAACACACATACACTGCTCGAAAAAATATTTTAAAAATTAAAAGTAATAATATTTTAAAAACTTTAAATTTATTAGGAAATTTATTTAAAGAAAACATATTTAAATTATTTGGTAATCAATTTTTTAAATCTATAAATATGTAGAATTTTAATTATTTATTTTTTTATATATTTATTCATTTATATTTTATTTAAATCCCAGATACTAAAAATTTTTTAGAATTTAGTTTTAAATTTTTTTAATATTTTTTAAGCAACGTAAAATAATCCTAACAATTTACAGTGTAAAAAGTATGTTAGAGAGGGATAGATAGTTTGTAGGAGTACAAGAGAGGTAGCCAGGGGAAAAAGAGAAAGATAGAGCTAGCAAAAAAGGGACAGAGTGATGCCTAAACGAGTGCAGCTTAAAATTGTTATCAACAATTTAATCACTGAAAACCATTAAAAAGCAAACAACAAGAAATTTCTTTACATCTTTTCCTCTGCGATTTTTCCCCTCTTCAGTTTTTCCGCCTGTTTTTCAGCTTTTCCCTTATTTTTTATATATATTTTTTGGCCTGTTGTTGCTGCTGCTTTAATTGCTATACACAATGCAGCTGTGATTATGGTCACCAGAAGTGAAGAATGAGTGAGTTGCCGCCGGCAGAAAGGCAAGAAAGACACGAGAAACGTTAATTTCATTTCACTATATATATAAAATATATATATATACAATATATATATTGTACATAATGAAATTCCTTAGTTGCAACTTCCCTTTTCCACGGACTTTAATTAGAAACAAAAAGGAAAAGGGGGTAAACGGTGTATTTGCCACAACATCTGCGTCAGTCATTTGTTTTCATCACCCTGGGAAATGGTCACACATATTGGTTTTATATGTAAAGGATACTGAGGAAAACTATAACACAAAAAAAAAAAAACCCAAAGTGGAAAGGCAAAAAACACTAGCAACACGCGCACAAGGAAAATTGCAGAAAAAACTACAGCAAGTGACAAATGATTTGGAAAATTACAAATACCAATTGTCTTATTTAATCAACGTAAGTGAAATAATACTCTTTGAAAAACTTTATTTTGTAAAAAACTATGATTTAAGATCTTGTAGAACTTTTATTTTAATGATTAAATTATTTATTTATTTATATAAAGCTAAAAATAGTTAAAAACTAAATGTGTTCTATGGGAAATTCTTTATTTTTTAAGAAACACTTTTTACATAATTTTTTTGCTTAGAAATTACTTTTTTTCATTAAAATTCCCAACCAGTTCTAGCCTGCTTCTCCACTAAAATCTAGCAACCGTAAAATTAATATATAATTTCTTGAAAATTCAAATTAAAGTAATTAAAAGTCGCCAAGTGAAATGTTTCCTGCCTAAAAATATATATGTATACAAGATATATACATATGTATATATATATATATATATAAACATCACTGTAACACTTGCTGGAATTTAGCTGCAGCAGTTTTCTTGGCTCCTTCCACTGCCGTTGTTGACTATTCGAGTCATGGGTGGTAGGTTAAAAGCGAAGGCAAATGGTAAGGTTGGGGAAAATGGAGGGGAAAATTGTAGGACTGGCTGGAAAAGTAAACCAACATAAGTGTTGCGTCGTTCGTTCGTTTTATTGTTGTGGCAGCAGGCAGACCCCGGATGCTGGATGCAGGATGCATGGACAAGGACATATGGACAAATGGACAGCACACAGCTCGGCAGCTCGGACCTCAGCAGGTCATGTTAACTAACCTCTTTTTGGGGGACCAACTCTCTGCACTGCCAACCATCCCTTAACCCAGAAAGGACCCCATTTGTCCTTGCCTGCAGCATAAATTTTTAAAAACGCTTGGCACTGCGGCTTGTCAACTGCAGCAACCTTGCCCTTGTTGCCTTGCCACGCCCCCCAAAAAGGAGAGGCGCCGCCGCATTCACCATTCAATTGTGACAATTTTAAAACAATTACAGCAAAACCCAATGAGCAAATGAGCACACAAAGGTGGTGAACATAATAGAATTTAAATAGAATATCGAATTTCGAGAATTTAATTAAGGACTTGATTTATCGATAAGTTATCGATATTGTGTTCACGTTGAGAATTTATTTTATGACTAAATTATTAATTATTATTTCTAAAATTTATTTTCAGACTTTTAACAATAATTTATCGATTATATTTTTTCGGCATTGTTAAATCTATCGATACTTTCGCTTAATTTAAGTTTTTCCTATGTTTTGAGTCCCAACAATTTTTGTAACGCTCTTAAATGATTGACCGCAGTTGTAAATTGACCAATGAAGAAGCACTAGTCACAGTGGCCCGACGAGAGTTAACAATTTGTGCAATTCGCATTCACGAGTTGACCACAAAAACCAACGGAAACATGAGATCATTATGCCACGTACTCTGTGGTCCACATCATGAATTTATATGTATATATATATACATTACAACAGGTTCATATCAGTTGTATATGCTATATGAACTTGCTTTATTGGAATACTTGCGGGGGCTGTGAAGAGCGGTGGAGCATCGAGTGTCAATTAATTCAATCGAAATGCACAAATCAAAGCAAAGGGCTGAGGCAATTAATTAACAAGGATTCGATTCGAAATGTAAGAATCAATTTGAATTGGGACTCTAATTAACATGGTAATATGATACTTTAAATACTATAAAAATGAAGAAATAATGGGGTTTTTGTAAAATGTAGCATACTTTTTGGGTAATTTTGAAAAGATTTCAATACTCCTTAAAGGGGCTTTTTAACAAATTTCTTTATTTATTTACCAGTATAGTGGAAT